AACAAAATATTATATAATGATGAATATGTAAGATCTACAGAAAGAAAGAAATCACTCAGCCAGGAGGATTAGGGAAGAGGAATAACTCCCAAGCAAAGTCTCAAAGTATAAGTTGGAATTTTTGAGATGGAAATAGAGGGAGAGAGGTGTGGAAGATGGACGTGACAGGCCTACTTTCCTAGGCCTAGTGGTAAATAAAGGCATGAAGTCAGGAAAGTAGAAAATATGCAGGGAAGCTGACTGACATAAGGCTAGAAAGGGCAGGGTTGTGTTAGATTAAAGAGGGCCTAAAAACAACTTATTTATGTGATTTAAAAAAATAAAACATTTTCACCTATTCAGTGCTTTTTTGCTATTCATAATTTTTTTAAATGTCCAGTTTTGTCTCAGAGTAAGTGACAGAGCCACGGAGAGCCAACATATATAAATATTTTCTGCAGCCAACTACTGGGGAATAAAATGCATTTGAACTCACTGTGGAAAACTGCACTCAGTGTGGTCATAATTGTTACATTTCTTTTTTATTTTTATAACTTCTGTCCTGCTGATCAAAATGCTTTACTGCTACCCCTTTGGAAGTTAAATGCATTCCTACTTATGCTGTGCTTTAACGGCTTTATCCTTTTGGGATGTTATCTAAAGTCAAAATTTTTATAGGTTTAGAATGTGCTTCATACCATGGCATCCAAATGGAAGTGTCCAGCAGGAAGCTGAAATTAAAGGTCTGGAGCTCAGAAAAGAGAGAGGTAGCCTTGGATCATCTGCATTGGAGTCATCAGCATGGAGCGGGGACTCATACTCATATAATACAACTTTCTTAGTGAAAGTCTATAATGTGATGCCTGCTTACTTAGTCATGTTAAAAAAAATGTCTACTGGCCCTTAGAGTGCATAAGGGATGTAATCAACCTAGAAAATTAGATGGCAATATGATAACATAGGGCCTTCAGTGTCAAACCAACGAATTTGTGTTTTATGCTTCAGGCAATAACAAGACACTAAAGCATCTTAAACAGTGGAGTAGCCTGGTCAGACAGAAAGGGGAGGGAAAAAGGGAGAGGGTCCAAAAAATCTTGAAGACTGTGTGTCAATTTATGGAGGAGGGCAATCTCTATTAGTGGAAGAAATAGCCATGTTGAAGAAATTCTAGATACCTGAAGTATCATGTAACTTGAAATTATATTAAATCAATAAATATTCATAGGTATCTATTGAATGTCAACTCTGTTTTCAGCACTACACAACAAGATGAAAACAGCAGCTAGGGACTAAGAATTTAAGTAAATCCATTACCAAAGTGCATAAGAAGGAATCCATTCAACTCCAAAAGAGACAGCATCAAAACACTTCCATATGTGGCTTGAAAACTAAGGCCAGGCTCATAATGGCAGGATTAGTCAGAGATAATGAATTATTTGTTGTTGGAAGTGGCCAAGCCTCAACAGCAATAGGATATGAAAATTGCCTTGTCAAGAGCAGGTCATTTGTAAATAACAGAATAGGTTCTACGTTATTATGATGAACATTGGCTATAAGAATTGGCTAGTCAATAAGCAATTCAAGAGGAAAGGAAAGTCATCTGTAGCAGAGAAGAATATATTCATACTTTTGAAATTTACCAAAAACCCATGGCAAAAAAAAAAAATAAAAACTGGATGGTATTTTGTTAAACTTGGAAGATTTATTTCCTAGATTGATGATAATATGTTCCAATGTGAATTTAATATTCCAACTTTCTGAATCAAATTTTTGAACTTCAGTGAGTATTTTGAAAAACCTCTTTTAATTAGATGAGCAAGTCATCCTCCAAAGTTGTTTTAGCATACACAAACAGACTGCTTCATTTTCTTATTTGACATTTTTGTCTTTAATAAATTGAATGGAAAAGATTTACTTAGAAATCCTATGATGAAACACTAATAATCTGTTATATATAAATCGAGCTGAAGAGCTATCAGGCACAATATGACATTAGATTTGCCTTTAACTTATACCTGGTAACTTTTCAGATGAAACTTGTCTGTGCTTTATGAGGATAAAATTCTACTCATCTCATTGCTTTGGATAGTTTTTGTTTTGTTTTAAGCACAGTCAAATTTTACATTTATATTGCCGTATAAAAATGACAGAGTAATTGCCTTTTCTTGGTTCTGATTCTCCACGATCCATTTGTAGCCTCTGACAACACGGATCAAATCTTCCTATGTGAAATTCTCCCCTTTTACTTTTTTTGGTATACTTCATGATTCTGATTCTCTCTCTCTCTCTCTCTCTCTCTCTCTCTCTCTCTCTCTCTCTCACACACACACACACACACACACACACACACACACTCTCTCTCTCTCTCTCTCTCTCTCTCTCTCTCTCTCTCTCTCTCTCTCACTCTCTCTCCTGATCATTTCTTTTTCTTTTTGTGACCCCTGAGCATGGATATTTTCCATAATTCAGTCCTTATCCCTCCACTTTTCTCTTTCTATATTCTCTTCTTCAGAAACCATATCCACTCTTGTGATTTCAAGTGTCACTTCTATACAGATAACTGCAAATCCAAATCTCTAGCTCCCAGCCATCATCTAGCTACAGCTAGATGGCACAGTGCATAGAGCGCTGTGGAGTCAGGAACATTTATCTTCCTGAGTTCAAATCTAGCCTCAGACGCTTACTAGCTGGGTGACCTTGGGCAAGTCACTGAACCCTATTTGCCTCTGATCCTCATCTGTAAAATGAAGGAAATGGTAAACCACTCCAGTATCTTTGCCAAGAAAACCCCAAATAGGGTCACAAAGAATTGGACACAACTGAAAAATGACTGAACAACAACAGTTCTGATGCCCCCGCAAACTTAGCATGAAAAAAACTAAACTCACCATATTTCCCCCAAAATTGCCTCTTTCTCTTGAGCTCCCAATTTTTGTGAATTCTGCCACAGTTCTCCTAATCGACATCACTTAAAACTCCATCACCATTTCCTTTCATATTGCCATAGACAATTGGTCAACAGGTCTTGTTTCTCCCTTTACAGATTTTTGCATAGAACATCAACCGGTCAATCTTCAACATGTAATTTTTAAGTGCTCACTATGTGCCAGGCACTGTGCTAAGTGTTGGGGTCACAAGTACAAGGAATAAAACAATCTCTGCTCCCAAAGAGCTGACATTTTGTTGGGGGGACACAAGTACATATAAAAACAATGAAGCATTAATGTACATTGAATATAAACCAATGCATACAAGGTAGTTCAGTGTAAGATATTTTGGGAAGGAGGGTGCTAGCAGTTGGGGGAGGTCAGGAAGGGATTCATACAGAAGATGTTGCCTAAGCTGCATTTTAAAGGAAGGGGAGAAAGCTATGAGGAAAGCAGTAAGAAGAAATGGCATTCCAAGCATGAGGAAAAAGAGGTAGAGAGCCCTGAGTGAGGAACACGAAGAAGGCCAGTTTGCCTGGATAGCAGAGTGTGGGAGGGGAAGCAACATTCCTCTCCCAAGTGAGACTAGAAAGATAGACTGGGGCCAGGTTGTACAGAGCTGTAAAAGTTAAACAGAAGAGTTTATATTTTATTCCAGAGGTCGCAGCCAGCATTGAAGTTGGTTAAGTATTACTTCAGTCTCGCCCTGACCTTCTGATCGGCCTCATTGCCTCTGCAGGAAGGTAGAGATAAGGAGGGAAAGGGTTCCAGGCATGGGGACAGCCACTAAAAAGGCCTGGAGTCAGGAGATGGAATGTTTTGAGCAAGGGAAAAGGAGGTCAGTGTCACTGGATCACAGAGTATACAGAAGGGAGTCAGTGTAAGAAGCCTGGAAAGGTGAGAAGGGCCTATATTATAAAGAGCTCTAAAAGCTGAATTCCTCAAGAACAGTCATGTGACATGTGTTACATTTGATTCCATGTATTGTCAGACATGTTACGTCCTTTATCTCATTGACAACAGACTATCTGAAGGCAGAAACCATATGATCTATTTCTTTGTATGCTGCACGGTGCTTCCTTAACACCAACCTAGAATATTTTACCTATTCTAAAGCCAGCCTAGTACACAGGCTTTACTCAGTAAGTATCAATTAATTACTATTAAAGCACTTTAATATGATTATTTTTTCTTTTGAATCCATGACAGAGAGCTAGTATGAACAGATTTTGGTTAATCTTGCTTTTTGACACAAGTATAGTATAAATTTCTGTTCCTATGATCCTACTCTTTAGAGACAGCAACTGCTTTGTTGTTTCTGTTATTTTCTTTTCATCTACAATGCCAATCTCAGAGCTTGGCACTTAAAACATGTTGGGTGAATTGTTGACATGAGCTGGAATTTTGTGATTGTGTGCATTAAGGAACAATAAGAAAAATGTGTGTGTGAAATATATATGATACATACTTCATATATATATATATGTATATATATATATATATATATATATATATATATATATATATATAGTGTGTATATATTTTTTGCATGATACTACTTTCATCTAAATCTCATCACTAGGCTGCCTGAAGTTAGTTACAATATGGCTTTCCTTTAACACCCATCTTAATGGATATGTGTGCATCTTTAGGAAAAAGACAGAGAGTGTACTTTGTGGATTTCTTAAGCACTTTTACAGCCAGCAATTGGACAGAATATACAAAGTGCTTCAAACTGTGTAAATGAATTGTGGAGAAGGGAGGAATGAATTGAAGACTCTGAGTGTTCCAAGTACTGCTTCCATTCACAATGGGCGTAGGCAGGCAGGTCATTTTTGTTCCCCAGCACAAAGAGATATTGCAAGGTAGTTATTCTTCTTCCGAATTCCTTATGGAAGCAGAGCACTTGTTATCAAATGGAGAGAGAGAAGCTATTTAACTATGTTATATCGATGTTTTGCAATTGTTTATACATAAAATAAAGTGCTATCTCTGACCAAGTCTGTGCTAATAAAGCAAAAGATAACCAAGGCAATAACCTAGGTAGTTTAAGCAAAGATGCTGCTCTTTGCTGGGATCTCTCTCTGTCTTTCTCTGTCTCTGTCTCTCTGTCTCTGTCTCTCCTGACACTCACACACACACAGCTATAGTAACAGATTAAGAAATTCTAAATGCAAGCATAGCTCAAGGATATTGTGGATTCAGTTCCAGACTATTACAACAAGGCGAGTCACACAATTTTTTGTTTTCCTATTGCACTTAAAAGTTATGTTTATATGATACTGTCTATTAAGTGTGCAATAGTACTGTGTCTAGAATAATTTGCATACCTTAATTAAAAATGCTTTATTGTTAAAAAAAATTAACCATCATCTGAGCCTTCAGTGTGTTGTAATCTTTTTCCTGGTGGAGGGTCTTCCCTCTGTATTGATGGCTGCTGATTGATCAGGGTAGTGGCTGCTGAAGGTTGTTGGGTCGGCCGTAGAAATTTCTTAAGATAAATCTGTCCCATCAATTAATTGTTCCTTTCGCTTGAACACTTAGAAGCCATTGTAGGCTTATTAATTGGCCTAATTTCAATGTTGTTGTGTCTCAGGGACAGGAAGGCCTGAGGAGAGAGAAAAAGAGATACTGGTGACGGCTGGTCAATAGAGCAGTCAGAATACACACCATTTATCAATTAAGTTCGTTGTCTCAAATGGGCATGGTTCGTGGCACCCCAAAACAGTTACAATAGTAACATCAAAGATCACTGATCACAGATCACCATGTCAAATATAATAATAATGATGAAAAAGTTTGAAATATGCTAGAATTACAAAAATGTGACACAGAGACATGATATGAACACATGCCATTGGAAAAAATGAAGAATCCACACAAACCTGCAGTTTGTAAAAAAAAAAATGCAATATCTGCCAAATGCGATCAAGTGAAGCACAATAAAACAAGATATGCCTGTGATTGTGATGAAAAATAAGGCAAAGTACTTTTTGTTGTTCTGAATAGTTAAGTTTGTTTTGGTAGCTGTTGCTCGAGCATGTCAATGGATAGCTAAGCAACATATATACAGGAAGATTAAAATATAATTTAGCAATCTGAAAGGCAGTATGGTGAGTGGGATATAGTGATTGGAAAGAGAACCAATCAGGAGTTATAAGCCCTGAATACTGTGACTTGAACAACTTACAACCTCTCTGAACTCAGTTTAGCCATCTGTGAATTGGGAAAAGTAATATCTATCCTATCTACCCCAGAAGGCAAAATTTTAAAAGTAGGAAGGGAATGTGCTTTGAGAACTACAAAGTAGTATTGTCAGTATCTTATCAGCAAAGCCAAACAAATCTTGGAGTAATCATAATTATTATATAGTTCACTTGTATAGTGCTATAAAAAAAACTTTTCCAAATCACATCCGTATTTTAAAATTTACTTAAAACAACAAACCAATGAGGTTGGTAAGATGCTACTTATTATTTTCATTTGACATATGAGGAAATCAAGACGCAGAGAAATTCTGACTTGTCCAAGTTCACATAATCACATTATGACTGGCCAAAGACTTTGCAGGAGAGTCCAGGTATCCTAACTCTGAAACCCAGGCTCTTTTCCCTCACTCATCTTGCCTTTTAAAAGAGAAACAGATAAACAAATGTTCCATGTGCATTTAAATCTATTCCATGTAAATGGATAGATAGATGATAGCTAAGCAGACAGACAAATATATAGACAGACAGATTAGATAGAATAGCTGCTCCTGTCAGCCCAACTCATGGATAAATTTAGCAACTATTCCTAAAACTCACTCCCTCCCCCCCAAAAAATTAATAGATGTGAGAACTATCTAGTTAATGCCCTCTTCCTCCTCAAACTCTCCCTTAGTATAACATGAGGAAAGTACTATGGCTAACCTTAAATATGGAATTTTTCTAAGCAGAGATAGATGGGGGGGGGAGATTGAGAATCAAAGAATAACAGAATCTTAGAGTTTGAAAGGGCTATATGGAACATCTAGTCTAATCCGTGCCTGACCAAGAATCCCTCTATGACATCTCCCATCAGTGACCATCAAGACTTTGCTCAAAAACTCCCATTGAAGAGAGATCTGGTACCTCCCTAGGTTGACTATTCTTCATTTAGACGGCTGACTTCTTGCTACATTGGTGTTGACTATACTTGACTTAATAGCTGAAAGCCTATGTAAAATGTATCTATAGTCTTGTCCTGATCTAGTGACCCTGTCAAAAGAAGAAATGTAGTTAGTCTGAGTTGAACTGTGTTACTTTAACCATGCTCATTTTCAATCATCATCATTTCCCCTTCTAAATAACTCACAAACCATCTCTCTAATAAAATGTCCTAGAAGTTCACCAAGAATTGAAGTCAATATCATTGGCCTATACTTTTAAAGTTCCATTCCCTTCCCTTTTTTGAAAATTTCATATTCCACCTTGCTACAGTCCTGTAGAAGTCAGTTCAGTGGTACAATGGTTAGAGCACTGGACCTGGAGTCAGGAAGAACTGAGCTCAAACACTGCTGCGTGATCCTAGGCAAGTTACTTAATCTCTGTCTGCCTCAGTTTCCTCAACTATAAAATGACAATAATAATAGTATGTACTTCACAGGGTTGTTGTGAGGATCAAATGAGATAATATTTGTAAAATATTCAGCGGTGTGCCTGGCACATAATAGTCAATCAATAAACATTAAGTGCCTCCCAGTACTAGGCAAACGCTTATTCCCTCCCCACCCACAGGTGCCTCTCCCATTTTCCATAATCTTTCAGACATCACTGACAGTGTTTCCACCACCACACCTGTCAGTTCTTTCTGAGTACCGGAATGCAGTTCTCCCGGGTCAAGTGATTTGAGTTTTTTGTGACCAACGATGTGCTCTGTGTATCCTTATCTTTGAGATTCAGCTCCCTATTAACTATTCATAGTCTCTCATTTTCAGGAATATGATAATTTTCTGTGGCAGGGAAGACAAAAGGAAAACAACAGTTAATTAATCCCCTCTCCCTAGTCCTCACCCTGAGCAGGACTCCCAACTACGCTAGACCTGATTTGGACCTATTTACCCTCCACAATATGAACTCTAATAAGGATAACTGACATTACAGATTTATGTATAACATCATATGGTTAACATTTTATTATATATAAATTAATATTTAGCTAATTAACATTAAATACTACATATTTAACATTGTTATACATTTAAATTAATGTTAAGTGTTAAATATATATTTAACATATATATAACATTATATATTTATATATAACATTTTTAAAGTTTGCAAAGAACTTTTCATATATCATATTATTTTATCTCCACAACAACCTTGTGAACCAATTTTAAGAATTTCCTGCCATTCTAAGAATATAAGTTGCAGAGAAGGTGGTGATCTACTTTGATAAAGTTCCTCACTAGAAGTTCCTTACACCAATGGGATCACAATTCTAGTGTGAAAAACTTTTTTTCTAACTTTTAAAAAATCCTTTTTGTTGTCCTTAACTTTCCTCACAAGCCTCAGCTGGCATAGACAATAAAATTTTGAGCCTAGAGTCAAGAAGACCTGGATTCCTGCCTCAGATACCTAAGTCCCGTGTGAAACCCAGGCAAGTCAAATAATCTCTCTGAGTCTCACTTTCCACTTCTGTAAAGCAAGAATAATAATGAAACCTACCTCATTGGCTTGTTGTGAGGACCAGATAATATAAATAAAGTTCTTTGCAAACCTTAAAGTGCTAGATAGATGTGAGCTATAATTATTCTTACAGAGCTCTGCAATGTTTTAATAGTCATCTTATTTTGCAATTAAAAATCTAAATTGGCCAATGAATTTCTTATGTATTCTTATCCATATTTTTAGTCAATTCCCCTTTCTCGTCCCCTTAGTAGAATTGGGTTTGTAGTATTTTTTTCTTTTTTGCATTTTCATTATTTGATTCTTCATAGGTTTCTATCCCCATTAGTCTGACCTCTGGATTCACAGAATCTGACCTACCTGTTCCCTAAAGACTTTCACATTTATCTCCTAAAATCAAAGATGACTGTCAAATTAAGCCTTTCCTTCCTCACATTTCCTGTCACAGATTCTAAGACAGAGTGCTCATTTCCCTCTAAGAGTCTCATTTCTATTTTAACAATCAGTTTCTCCTTCTCAGTCAGACTCTGGTGTAGATTAGCACTTCCCTTCATCATTCCCTTCTCTGTTGACCAATAAAATTTTCATTAACGCAAGTCAAGAATTCATTAGCTGTTGTGCTTTGAGCAGACAGAAGATTCTGGCAGATGTTGGGATAATTTAGCTTCCCTATGTACTACTCTATCATACCTCCATACTAGGCATGTTTCCTGGATTCCTCAAATATTTCATCTCTTTCTATCTAGGTAGTCTATAGTATACTCACATGACAATATCACTTCTGTTTCTTTACTTCCATTTTCTTCATTTAAATACTTTCTACCATGCTTCCCCACTATGGCTCTTCAATTTCCTCCTGTTACTAAGTTTTTGATACTCAGTGCTACTCTATCCCCATCTATTTTTCATCTCTCCTGTTCTTTTTGAATCTGACATACTGTACCAGATCAATGTTGCCATCATGGGTCACACCCCACCCATCTCAATGATACATGGAGTCCTTTGACATTTAGCTCCTTGTAATAGGATCTCTAGTTCACCTTAATTGCAGTTATTTTGTGCATTTGTGAATAGACATCGAAGCCAAGACTTTTATTCCTAGCTCCTTTGCCAATTGTTTTTTTGTCTTCTGCAAAGTACCAGACATTTCTATGACTGTTCTTCCTGTGTTGTGATGTCTACTCTCTAAGTATCTAATCTGCTAGATAAATATCAAATAGAAGCAGCTTTCAAATTAGAATATACTAAATAATGCTAATTGTAAGTAAATGGTGAGGAAAGTTGGCCAAGAGAAAGATTATAGTAGGTACTAAGTCTAGAAGAGCCCACTAGTTCTTGCCAAGGAAAAAATTGTTTACAATATATGCTTACATAAAAACCCTGAGACTTCTGCTTAATTATGTCATTTTTAAAGTGTAGCCTTTCAACAAAAAAACCTTCCTAAGTTTTATTTACCAACACTCCTCAGTTAAAACAGTTCGGGAAATTTCTAGTATTAGCCCAAGATGAATATTGCTGTACCTACATATATGCATACTAAATTATATATACATTAAATAAAAGTGGTTGGGGGGGCAGGCCTATTTTTCTCTGTCTTTGCATTGGCTACGGTTAATTTTAGCTTGTGTTTTATTTCCCAATTGTATCAGAAAACAAAGAAAAACAGTATTTGGGGGTCAGGGGAGGGGATGGTGGAAGATACCCATTTAGTGTTTTGGTTGCCCAGTGGTCTTCTTGTCTTCCATAGTTAATCACTACACCCATTCAGTAGGAGCAGTGTTAATTTGTGGGAGAAGCCCTGAGGAGTCAGGAGAGCTAGATTTGAGTCCTGACTCTGCATGGACAGACTGTGTAATCTTTGGCAAATCTCAACTTCTCAGAGCCTCAGTTTCCTCATCTGTAAAACAAAGATAGTAGTAATATTTATACCACTTACTTCACCAGATGCTTCTCAAGATCAATAATACAAGACATGTGAAATGCCTCATACTAGTAAATCACAACATAAATGTACATTGTTTCCCTACTTAGTTTCCAGGGCTTGGTTCAAATTATCATTTTAAAATAACAATCATATGTCTCCATAACTGCATATGGAAGTTTATATTGTAAATAACTCCACTCCAAATCTACCCAAGTTTAGACACTGCAGTGAAGATATGGAACATGTTTGTGTTTTGATATAGAACTTGAAGTTTTTCATTGTTCTTTGTAGGTAGAGTGAAATTAATGATGAGGTGAAGAACATATAGAAAGAAGGACAGAAAGAAGGAAGGAAGGAAAAAAGGAAGGAAGGAGGGAGGGAAGAAGAGAGGAAGGAAGGAAAGGAGAAGGGAGGAAGAGGAAGGAAGGAAGGAAGGAAGGGAGAAGGGAGGAAGAAAAGAAGGAAGGAAGAAGGGATGGAGGGAGAAAGGGGGAGGGAGGGAGCACTTACTGAGTACTTACTATGTGCAATGTGCTAAACACTATAGTAAACAATGAAATAAAAGAAGATAGATGGATAATGAAGCAGCTAACATTATCAGGAGGCAATACTTGTGGAATATTTGTCATACTTTGATTTAAAAAAACAGAAACAACAAAAAACATATTTCTTGAAAGGTCAGAATGGAGTGAATGAGATTCTTTTCTGTATAACACTGTTTCTTTGGAGATTTCTGAGGAATATATTATAATATAGAAAATGATAATATGTGGCTTGGGAGCCAAAGCCAGCTTACTCCCCCTCTGGGCACTGCCTCTTAGCTGAGCTGAGAACAGTAAGAGCAGTGGAGTATCCTGGACCAACCCAACCCATTCTCAGTCAGACCCCTGCTATAAAGAATCACCCATGCTATTATACTTCTTCCCTCATGCTTTAATAGGAGACACTTTTTTTTCCTTTCACATATCCCAAAATGGTATTGAGCAGTTTGTCTAAAATGTAACTATAGAAGTCACCTTAAGTTTATTTGGTCTGTCCTGTCTTTTTTAGTCAATGATCCTTCTGAACAGAAACTTTCAGTGTGTTTTCCAGTTGATTGTGTCTTGGTGGCCAGCATCATTCATATTTTTGTCTTTTTTATGACTACTCTTTATTTTTCATGGTACAAAAATTGAATCAGAAAGGGATAGGGGTTCGTGTGTGTGTGTGTTCTGTTCAGATAAATGAAAAGTCACTGCTCTGGTGAGCCTTGAAGTTTGTATCCATAAGTTGTGATGTCAACCTCTTTTGAAAATAATCTTCACATCAATTCAAGAAACAAAAATATCAGGTCAGGGAAAACTAATGATTGTTGAAACTTGCTGGCCAAGCTAAAACTTGACTCCAAGGGATATTAATTTTTTTTCTGTCATTAAAGGGGAAAAACATGATTATCCTCTGTAACTGGTAATAATGATCTTCTAAGATAAAAATAAATTAAATTTATATTAAAGCTCTGACTAAAGGACATGACAGCTTCTTTCTTTGTTAGAATTTTCATATGGTGTATAATGGAACATATAGTGGACTTTAAATGCTTCCAGTAACATCAATAATGCAAATCTGTGTTTGAATACAAATGAATGCCTACAAGGCCTGTTTTGGTTATTAATGATATTAATTATCTGACTGTTCAGTGTTGTTACTGTTGTGTTTGGAGCAATACTTAATAATAAAAGCCCAGAGGCAAATCTCAAAAAAAAAAAATTTAATAACAGAGATTAATTCTACTATACAAAGAATTCAAGAGAATGTTTACTGGTGAAAATCCAGCCTACATTTTAACTCATTAGGAAGACATTCGTCCAGTGAATACATTTTATGAGTATAACTTGCTTTCTTTTCCCAACCAAAAGAAATGGTTCTGATGTATTTCCAGAGAGTAGCCAGTTTCCTAACATTAGAAACCAAAAGGCTCCCTATCGTAAATGGTCGTTGCTTAAAAAGATCTCATAGCTATAGGCCTACCCTCAAAGATGAAGATGCTGTTCATGAGCAGTCCTTTATGATCTTAGAATTGCTTTGAAATGCATCCCACTCAGATTTGTCTTCAAGGGCTCATTGGCTACTTGGCTGTAGTGGCATATGCATGGACTGAGCTGGTCCTCTGTGGATATCTCTTTTGTTGTGAAAATAGTCTAAAACGTCTTCACCGAGGAGCAGAATAAAGTGAGGGAGGCCTGTCAAATTTTTCCCCATACTGTCTTTCAGTATTTGATTCTAGAAACTGACACTAAGCTATTGTGGCAGGTGACATATGGGGTAGCAGCCCATCTGGTCGGCCAGGTTTATTGCCATCATGGCAGGTAAAGCTATCATTTATAATCCAGTTGACTACAGCTGCCAGCGGATGCTGTGTTTCTGTGCCGTTCATGCCAGCTGTAGCAGTTTTCACTGGTTTTAAAATTGAACTGCTTTTAGTCTGAAGCCTCCCCTCAGGCCTATTTACCATAGGAAACCTAACCAGGAACTCAGCACTCCCAGGAACATAATGGTGCAGCTCCTTAGATTGCACAACTCTCTCTACCATCAACAACAGCATAGCACATCAAGGAAATGAAATGTGGAGTATGCATCTCACGTCTCCTTATTTCTAACAGAAACATATTTTTTTCAAATGGAGCCTCTGCTCTGCCCCATTAAATTCAATGAATCAGAGAATTATAGATTTGGAAGAGATATTAGAGGCCATAGAGCCTAACCCTCTTGTTTTAAAGAAACAGGAACATAGAGGTCAGCTGACTTAACTCAGGGTCATCAAAATAGGAAGAGTCAGGACACGAACTAATGTACTGACTCCCAAGTTTAATATTCTTTCCAGTTATAAAACACTTTCCCCATAACAACTCTGTGGTGTAAGGTGTATGATGATACTGGTTTTGAAAGATGAGAAAAATAAGGCTTAGTAAAATGGAGTGACTTGACCATGAACAGACAGCCATTAAGTATCAGAGCTAAGACTTGAACAAAGAGCCCTTGTTTCCAGCGCTGGCTCTCTATCCTCTGTGCCACTCTGCATTTTCTTTACACAATGAAAATCTCAAGGCTACCTCAACAGAGATATGTTAACTGGGAACTACCTTGGAACTGGGAACTATCATAGTTCTCCAGTAAGGATCTAACCTCAACACTGGATGAGGAAAGGAATAAGCATTTTTATAGTACCTATGCTGTTCCAGGCACTGTGCTAAGCACTTTTACAAACACTATCTCATTTGATCCTCATAACAACCCCGGGAGCTATTACATCCTCATTTTTTAATTGAGGAAACTGGAACAAACAAAGGTTAAGTCACTTGTCCAGGGTCACACAGCTAGGAAGTATCTGAAGCTAGATTTGAACTCAGATATTCCTGATTCCAGGCACAACACTCTACCCACTGTGCTACCAGCTATCTCTAATAATAATGTTAGAGTTGCTAGGCAGTGACACCTGGATTCCTTATTCAGAGCATGCTGTTCCCATTACCAGTTAAAAGCGTTGTTCCCCAAAACCAGGGAATCTTAATTTTTTTTTTGTCATGGTCCTTGTTGACAGTCTGCTGAAGCCTATGGACCCCTTCTCAAAACAATATTTGTTGCCTATATTCATAATTGAAGGAAATGCCCAATTTCAGTTAGAAATTTGTGAGAATAAGGATGTAATTTTGTCCAATCCAAATTCGTAGACGCCTTGAAATCTAATAGCTGGCCATCTTTTTAAAACCCTTAAGAAGAGAATTCAGTTGTATGGAATTCAAAGGCCAAGGACTGAATCCTATCAGTTGACCATTTTTGCCATTTATTTGCCTTTGAACTATTTCCCTTTTTAATTTCAGAATCTCACTTTGGCATACTTAAAAAGTATCTCACTTTAACCACAAATCCTGGTTCCCAGGTAGACATCTCAGACAGAATGGAAATAATCTTTCTTTCAGAGGTCAGAATCAAGGAATAGTACAATCAGAATTCTACAGTACTATGTACTATGGATCTACTTTTGTCCTGTGAAAGATTGGGGGTCATTCCCAATGTGACAAGTATCTCTGCATTCACGGAGCTGCATTATTTCATGTTTACTCTCTAAGCATTTGGGGGCACAAAAATGAGTTTTAAAGTTGCTTGTTCTGTTAAACATGCACCATAAAGTTAATGGGCTGCAAAATTCTTCAGATTATGACTAAAAAAGCTCATCAGAATTCACCAGTGATTTGTTTTATATTGTCTCTGCAGTCATAAAGCAAGTTAAAAGCAAAAAAGCTACCACATACAGGAGTCAAATAAAGTCAGACATGCCCTATAGATTAGGGCCTTTTGCATTTCCATGGCAATGCGGAAAATTCACTCAGTCTAAGTTTCTCGATCAGAAAAGATGTCAAGTTTATTGCCAATTTTGCCATTTTGTTTCTCTATGACTTGACAGGGTCTCTGGGGCAAAAAGATTTGTAGCCAATTCTCCAAGTACTAATGCAACACTTAAAAAAGGCTTCAAGAGATGATTTGGAAGAGTTCTTCTTCTTTTTTTTTTTGTCTTTTCCTTTCATTGTTATTTTAAGTTTGTCTGGAAGGAATAAAGTGCTGTGTCACTGTTCTCGGATGGATCTTCCACATTGTTGTCTCTTTGCAGGAGGCCGTTCAAAAACCAAGAATTCAGGTTGAATATACCCTTTTTTCCCTCTCAGCAACACTTGCAGAAATGTAGATAACAGTAAGAAAAGTCCTGTTCCAAGTAAAATATAACAATGATTTGACACCCTATAATGAAACATTGTCTTTTCAGGACGAGTCTGCTTCAGCTGACAAACAGCATAAACAAGAAGCGGCCCAGGTCACTTATTCCACATCAGCTGTTTCTAGCACACAGGAGGTGTTGTATATCAATGGAAACGGGACCTACAGTTACCATAGTTACAGAGGGTTAGGAGGAGGACTGCTAAATCTGAATGATGCTTCTAGTAGTGGTGAGTTCTTATTACAGATTGTGTATGTCTGTCCAGTTGGGGGTGGCGTCTGTTCGAAATTGGAGAGAGAAGAGAGAATATGCAGATGTCTCCCAGATACATATTCCTATAAATGTGCTTTTTCTCTTGCTATTGCTCAAAATGGCAAAAATCATTATGCAATTGTAGGATTACACATAGTTCTCAAAACTCTACAAAATTTGACTAAGTATATAAAAGCTTTTTTCCCCAGAAGTGGAAACCCCTTATGCTAAATAACAACTATTTTTATGAAAACAGTAATATTAAATAGGAATCTTTTTTTCTAAATAAAAGAGTCAAGGTGATCCCTGATTTGGGGAAATTGAAGCACAGAAATATTAAATAACTTATTTGAGGACACAAAGGCATAAAAACATGTGAGAAAATATAAGAACATAAGAAGTATTAGACATTAGACCAATAGAAGATCTAAGTAAAGATTTTGTTTCTGATCATGGAACCAAGAGATATTTAAGAAGCGAGCATAGTAGCTACTCTTCTCAGCACCAAAAGGTTAGTGACTTCCCAAACATCACAATTTTCTCATAGCCTACTATGGATCCATGATTCTTGAATTCTATTGTATTACTTGAATATATTTTCATCTTCTGAGTGTACAACCTGTTACAGTACTGAATCACAAAGTTAGCTACTCGCTGTATAAAGTAGCCTTCCTTTAATTCACCTTGATTCTAATTCCCTTTGAGTTCCAAGGGCTGTCTCCATAATTCTGTTATTCTGAAATTTAGTTAAGTATGTGCCATTTTGCACCCTCTAGTCAATCAGTAGCCGATCTACAATCCTCTGACTTCCATTCCTGCTGGGTTATTCTTCCTAGCTTTGCCTTAAAATTTGCCAAAGACTTCTTAGCCTACTTCATGATTACAAATTGCTCTGTATTTTTTAACCTAAATTCCCCCCCCCATCTTCATGTTATCTCCTCCCCAGGATATTAACAAGGATGTTGAAGGGGCAAATGGTTGTGAAATTATTGAATATGGTCCACTGATAGTCTACTATAAGGATAATAGGTTTTAGAGCTTGAAGGGACCTGAGAGGTTACCTAGTTCATTTTACAGATAAGAAAACTGAGGCCTGGGGAGAGTGACTTACCCAAGGTCCCACATGTCATAAGTGACAAACTTGAATATAGATGAATTCTCTTGTTATGATATGCCATACTAACAGCACACGATACCATATTGATGTGTTTAATAGGGCAGAGCAGGACCTCACATTTTAAAAAATGATCTCATATGTATCATTAAATTCTTTCCTAAAATATTAGTCTGCTGTGTGTACACTTGACTTTAATCAATGTTGCTTTACATAGCAGCTATGGGATGTAGGTCAGTATAACTAGACCTTTCTCAAAGGTGAGGGAACTGAGGCAGAGAAACGAAAGTAACTCAACAAACCTAGAGCAGAGCCAAGATTATAATATGCAACCTGTCCTAGGCTCAGACAAATAAGCCTTACATCTCGAGTTAAAGGGAATTTTATGAATTAAAAAAAAAAACTGAATTCTTCCACGATTCATCCTCTATTTACAGAGCCCTGTGAGTAGCAGAGAGATGATGATATTAGAATCTGTCCATTATCACTATAGTTCATTCAACTAAAAATAATTATGTGTGAAACTATGTAATAGGGCTTTTGGTTCTTTTTTATTATTATTTTTAATGCAAAAAGAGGTGTGAGTGTTGTGTGTGTGTGTGTCTTTTCCTGCCTAGACTACTGAGGACTTAATGGGACCATTAATTTTTTTATATCTTTTTTATGTATTCATTTTAAACCATCGTACAATAGGACAATAGCTTTAGCTAAGGAGATGGTTTATAAGTAAAATAAATATTTTTGAAGTGTAATCTGATCATTTATATAAAATCTTTAATTTTAGAACCACTAGGGCCTAACAGATAATTAAATCTCAAGTGGTTGATATGAGGTATAGGCCACACTCTATACTCTGTGAAGTTTAGTATGTGGAAAGTCTGGTATGGGTCCCATAGGAATTGGCTTGTGATATTTTATTTCAACAACTGAGGCTGTCTTCAGATTGTTTGTAGATATGCCTGGTGATTCCATGATAATCCAAACTTTGTCATTTTGAATAAACAGCTGAAGATGGATTTTGGTGGACTTATGAGCAGAGTTAGACTGATTAAACAGTGAACAAATTATTATACTTTTCTTCATGGTTTGCTTCCATGCTTGCTATTCAGTACCAGGAAATATGATATATGTACTCTTATGACAATTCCAAAATCTACAGTCACTTTCACTTAGATTATTCTACGAAATGAAGACTCATTTAACTCATATTATATTTATATTTAAAAGTTATACCTACATTTGCTTTGCTTTAAGTTTCAAAGAGCAATTTTGTGTTCTATGATAGAATGTAGAATGTATTATAAACAAATTGCTATTTCTATTAAATGCTTCTTAATTATTAAAATAACTGATAGCATTTACAATCCTGTTATTATGGGATTAAGGGGAGGTCTTTTAGTTTGTTTTCCCTTATAGTTGGGGAAAAAATAAAATATTATTAATTATAAATGACTGCATACCTGAGAAAACTGTGCCCCTTTTGTGGTGGCAGAAATATGCTTCCAAATGTCATTCAGCAGAGATTAGACAAGAAAGCCATGTGTCTCTGGACTCCATTAAAAACTAAAGAGTGTGGGGCAGCTAGGTGGTACAGTATATAGAGCACCAGCCTTGGAGTCAGGAGGACAAGAGTTCAAATCTGACCTCAGACACATGATACGTACTAGCTGTGTAACCCTGGGCAAGTCACTTAACCCCAATTGCCTAAATTAAAAAAAAAAAATTAAGAGTTGTCTCCAAGGGCAGGATTATTAAGTTTTGTCCAGACTAATCCCTCTCTGGTTCAAAAGAGTAATGCCTCAGGAACACAAGGAAAAGAAAGGAGCTAATTTCGGGGAAAAAATTGAGAATCAGAAGTATCTTCAGCATCTCCTATTCTAAGAAGTCTTCTTATTTTCCAACATTACCCTTGTCTTCCGGGAGGCAATTTGGACTAAGTATAATATGCTGATACTCTAACCAACACAAAACTGACTACAAGCTAAGGATATCTTTTTCATCATCCTATAATATTTGAAATTCCCTAATATTTAATTTATGGTATTTTAGATAGGAAAATCTTAGCAAGAGCTGGTAGTTTTGAAAAATATGTGAAAAACTATTTATATTGACAAATTAAATCTTTTCCAGGCATTTCAAACATTTGTGTGTAATCAAGAAATGGCATATTGTTGTTGTTGTTGTTGTTTTATATATAAATAAATTCCATTTACTGGTTAAAGTACAGCATGACCTTGGACCATAATACAGGATAGGAGATTTGGCCTTTATAAGAATCAGCTTTGTGTCAGGGTCAGGAAAGAAGCAGATAATGTTAAGGTCTCTAAACATCAGTTCAGCTGATGTCGTGTGGAAAGGAAGAACTACATTAATACACATGAGTCATAATCAACATATAAGGGTCATAGGTAGGACCAGTTTTATGTAACAAGAGAGAATTGCTGAATTCAGCCGATCACTGAAAACTCAGACTGATCTGTAGTCATTTCTTGAAGTGGTGAGAAACTGGGGGCTTAGGACACATTGACCGTGAGATACTAGCATGAAATAAGATAAATGTGTATTCTTGGTCATAAACTAGATAAGGGAAGATAAGAATCTAGACCATTAACTGGGGTTAATAAGCCAAGTGGAGATTTGGGGTGAAAGCAGTGTTGAAACATATATAAGGTTTATTATAGGGATTCTTAATCCTTTTTTGCGTGTAATAGACCCTTTTAGCAATCTGGTAAAGGCTAAGGAGTTCTCAGAATAATAATGTTTTTCAATTCATAAAATAAAATATATAGAATTTTAAAGGAAATTCATTATATTGAAATAAAAATGCAGTTTTCCCCATCCAATTTCACAGATCCTTTGAAATTGCTCCCAGTATGCATAAACCCTAAAATCACACTGGAAGGAGGTCGAGGGGCCAGACAGATGCTAATGTGGATCTTTTCCCTTGAAGTTTCAGAAGCAATACAGAAAAGAAATTGTGTTCCTTTAGTGCCATCATACAACTTTTACATGCATTCTAAGTGCTTTCTGTGTAAGGGCAAAAGAGGGCAAAACTCAATTTGCAATCCACCAAAAAGGTAGATAGAAATTTCTAAAATTATTTTTCTTGTATCTAAAAATTTAATTTTTGGATTAAAAATAAAATGTGTAAATGTGAAGATTTATAGATCTTAAAACTAACATATGAGAAGTAACATGATAGATACATATCTCCACCCTCTGTAGAGGGTGGAGAGTTGGCTGAGAGTCAGGAAGACCTGAAGAGTTCAAGTTATAGCTCTGCCATATCCTAGTTGTATTATACTGGGAAAGTCACATAACCTTTCTAATATCATAAGTTACAAGACAGTTGCTGATATTCACTGATATTGTTTCATCCCTTGGAGCTACCCATACAGATTAAAAAAAAAGATGAATATGAGAGAACCATAGCTTAAATTTAAATATAAAAGAATATACTCTCTAGATTTTTCATTCCAACAGTTATAAACAAAATTAAGTGCAGCTTGACAATGTTTTGATAGGCTAAGTATGTTTATATTTTTGCTTAATGACCAAAATCATTACTCTGAAATTTCTGTGAGTTATACAAAAAATTAAAGTCATGAGGGAAAGTATAGTATGAGTGTTCTAACAATATTCCTAATGAATTTTAAATAAAAAATCATTAAAACATCTATACTCCACACTCCAGATATGAAAATGAAAAATGACATAGTGTTTGCCCAAAAGGAGCATCTAATCTAGTAGAATGAGATAAATTCAGTACACTGAAACCGGATTTAGGAGACATGATTTTGAATCATAACATTAGTCGACTGACCACAAAAGTCACATAACATTTTGAAGTGTTGTTTCTTCAA